TTGATTCAATATTTAAAAAACCCCATTAGATAATTTTTACAATTAGCTATCAAGAATTAAATAGTTTAAAAATCAAAAATTCATAACGTGTTCAGGATAATGCAAAACAACTTATGTTACAGTTTTATTTACTACGTATATATGTGTTGTACATGAATTTATTTGTGTTATTAATAAAAAATTGATCTCGTTATTAGGGACTTTACAATTTATTTATAATAAGTCCACTATAAAGAGATTTTTCTTTATAGTGGACAAAAAATGCCTGGAACCAAGTGTCAACTATAACGAGCTTTGACTGTATATGGATTTCAAAGAAACGCCGGTAAACCGAATGTATATGAAAAATCGTTAAATCCGCTAAATCTGAAAATCAACGAAAAAGGAAATTATAATAATGTTTGATTTTACTAATACGAAGATAGAAATTAATAAATAAAATTTTTTTTTAAGCAAATGAATACTACTATTAATTTGCAAATCATTTATCAACCAGGGAATTTTATATATATATTAATATAGATACATATAAAATCGGCAGGGCTAGATTTTCAAAAACACCACAAATTTCAAACATATCAAAAAAAAAATCTATTATTCTATGTGGTGATTCCATTATGACTCATTTCAACAAAAGCAGTAAGCCCATTCAATATGGAAGTTCACATAGTTCATAAACGAGCACGCTTATGTCATAGTGTATGTTAAAAGAGTAGTTTTATTTAAATAATAACAAAGAAAATTGATCGACGTAGATAATTTTATATATAAAATATTATAAACCAATTTCGGATATTTTAATTTTGGTGGATGTCGAATATTCTCATGGGAACTCAAATGGCGGAGATTTTTGACCTGTTAATGAATAAATTATGCTCATGCAAGCATCTCAGAAAAGAAAAGAATTGTCTTAGATGGGCTTTCGTCCTTGATTTGTAAAATATCGTCGACCTACACTGCGCTACTGCACTAAAAAAATTAAGGAAATAGATTTGACCGTTTAGAGGGTAGCTTATAATTTTCATGTATTAAATAACACAATTGCATAAATACGCATTTCAATAAAATAAAAAATTCATTTAGATCATAATTAATTCAACAAATACATGCTCACAATACGTATACGTCATGTTTTTGCTATTGTTATTAAAAAGAATAATGGGCGTATCATGTCACATGTACAGTATATATAAACAGTGTATAAAATTCAATGTGCGGAATGTGCGGGTGTAACATCGTACATTAGCAGTTTTCTGCAGATAGTTTCTAAATTTGTAGAAATCTGCATTAGTTACACACTGAAATTTACACACTGTATATAAATCACGTTTCGATGTGTAACAAGATATTTTTAAAATTCGTAAAATCCGTTGAAAACGCGAATTTAATTATAATCCGTTGAAACAAGTATTATACTAATATTGTTATTGTGGCTAAAAATTTATGCAAATTTAATATTAAATATTAACCGAAAAATAACTTTTGTTTTCTTGATATTATAAGATATAAAAAAATAGTAAGTGCAAAAATTAATAATAAACATTAACTGAAAAAACAACCTTTTGTTTTCCTGATATTATAAGATATCACTAAGGAGGAAATGAAATTTTTTATAAATACATCAATTCCACTCGATTTTTTTCTAATTCAAAAATACAAAAATACAAATAATAACAATAAATTATTTTCTAAAAAACTAGAAACACAAATATATATACTTAATCTTCTATATAACCTTAAAAATTCAAAATGAAATTTATTCTCTTTTTTCTTACCTTTTATCTTTTTATCATTGCTATTACTTCAGCAACACCAACTGGTAACATTAATGAAGATAATATTTTAAATAAACGTTTCTCTTGTGAGTTCGGTGGTATACCCGCTTGTAAAGCTAGTTGTGCATCTAAAGGCTATTTTGGTAAAGTTAAATGTTGTCCATGTAAAGGTGGTAGAGTGATTTGTCGTTGCGCAGGCAATTGTGTACCTCCAAATCTATGTTAATTATATTTTTTTCTTTAATTTTATTATTTATGTAATCTTCCAATAGCAATAGAAATTAAATTTATTTTAATTATTTTGTAATAATTAAATAATTAGAATATGTTTAATAATTAATATATAGTGAAAGATTCTAACGGTTATTGTGAATTTTAATTTACAAGAAAAATATTATATTTTATTTCAAATTATTTTTTAATAAATATTGTTATTCTATTTATATGATTCAAAATATTACAGTGTCTTGATTTAACGGACATGTTTGTACCAAGGAAAATTATCCGCTAAATCGAGATATCGTTAAATCAAAATTTTGAATAATTAATTCGTTAATTTATAAAATTTTCCCTCAAAATACGTAGAATCTCACGCCTCCCTATAATTAAAACCACAACGCACATCAACACACACATAAAACATAATTATAATAATTTTTTTATTCCCAAAAGGTTATATTTATTCTAGTATAACAAATAATAAGAGCTTTAATAAAAAGAATAAAAAGGCAATGACCGACATATTTATATTAAATATAAAAAAACTCGAGTTTTAGGCAGAAAATTTATTGTTTAAAAGGTTTTTTCGTAATAAAAACCCATATTCTATGTGTTTAGTACAAATAAATAAGTTTCTCAATTTTTTAAATATTTCAATTTTATATGTAAAATTCTTGGAATCTGGAGATGCCCAATATAAAAAAGTTAGAAAAACAAAAAGTTATAGTACATTTTTTGAAATCTTTGAGATTTATTCTACCAAATAAAAAAAATCATGAAAAAATTTTTTTCTTGGAGAACTTAGATGCAGTGTAATTGTGTGTCAATTGAGCAGATTTCGTCAATTTTACTAACCTGACCTCCATAAATTAAAGACTAGTGCCGTAAATTATGATGATGGTAGTAATTGTATTCACGACATATAAAAAGTGGTTGCAATTACCTTTGCGACCACTTTTGCAACCATACTTTTTCCTTTTTTTGGATTACGGCACTAGTCTTTATTGTCATGGATTGATTCCAGATATTACTGTTTCATTTTTGAAGCCTGAAGTTGAGATTTTAGTTGTTGAACATAGTAAATCAAAATGTATTGACAATGTTCAAACAAATCTAAATGACACCATCAAACTTGCAATCCTGATCTAATCTAAATTTTAAATAGAGACAACCATGCCAAATTTTTGGAAATTCTAAACCAAGGACCTAAAACTCCAGAAAAACAAAAAATCCAAACGAATTGTAGAAATAGATACTTCTCTAATTACTTTACAACAGGGTTGGCAAATGTGTGATTCATTGGTGGTCCATTGGGTCCATTAATGTAAATATTTTAATCATATTTAGTATTTTATTAATAAACAATTAAATTGGATTTAATTTTACAATAATTCATTGCCTGAAATTAAATATAAAACCAATTAGTATTATATAATACAGCATTATTTTAAATCACATCTACCAACCTCATAAAAAAGGCTTTTTCTGGATTACTTGAATCATTCAAACTTTTTAATACTACTATTTGCTCTCCAAATAACTAAATTCCTTTTCACTGTAATCAATTATTCTTCCTTCTTGTCCATGTAGCAGTATAAATTGAACTAAATCCACCTTCGGTCAATTTTGTTATTTTTTCAAATTGCTCAAAAGGTATCCATTCTAAAATATAGTTTGGCAGGGATGATTTCATTTGACATTGTTGAATAAAATCATCAATTATTTTATTTCCAGATGTCAAAGTGGTACTCTGTAAGTGTAAACTAATGCAACCTTCACAGAATCTATCAGAGTACCTTGTCAATTTACATTTGTCACATTCTTTTTGTTGGCCTGATTTATTCTTTGCATTTTGTAATTCAAAACTATAAATAAATCTTTCTTTACAATATTCTTTTTCATTTTCAGAAAGCTCCTTGTTTTTCTTGACTAGTGAAAAATAATAATCTTTTCTACTTTCTCTGTCAGAATTAAGTCCTGCATTATTAAACATTCCATGATAAATTTTATATACAAATTCCCTTCTTTCTGGTGATAATGTTGACAATAGATTAATATATGACATTATATAAAAATTTTACTTGGTGTTTTTAGAGTGGAATTTTTTTTTGAGAACAACGGTTACATTAATTTTTCCCTTAACATATTAATATATACTAATACTAATGCAGAAAGGTTTCCGTGTTACAGTTTCTTTCTAAATGTCGTAATTTTTGCGTAGATTTTTATATTGTGTAATATTTTCATTTTGCTTGGTTGCTCAACTTTTAATAAATTGAATTGTTGGGAAGGATGAAATCAAAATCAAAGGATAATGAGTCATTTTCTTCTTTTTTTACTACGCCGAGTTGAATTAATTTGTTAAAATTGAAATTTGAGCAAAAATATTTTCGTTTTCTAAAAATGATAAATATTTATGGTTATTCTTACATCACCATATCATGCAAATTCCCATTTCTATCCATTTGGTAACCGAAAAACTTATATATTTTTGTTCAAAACGTCAAGTTTTAGCGGAGCAGATACTTGACTGAAAGGAAATTGTGTTTCGCTTTAGATTTTTTTACGTGGTGTCTATCGTTGTCTACCGTTAGGTCTTCGTCTTTCTCTGATGTTTTAGACGTTTGAAATTACCTTGGAGCCTTTATTTCAGATCCCAAATCGTCAAAGACTTATCACACAATGTGTTAATGTGTTAGTATATTTTAGGGTCACGAGACCGGGATTCAAAAACACTTTTTTGCATTTTATTTTTTTATTATTATCGTCAATTCAATGATTGATAAACAAATAATATTGTCCATTTGAGAGATTTCATTTTTAATTTTCTTTCGCAGAAAACAAATAAAATCCATTGATTAATTTTGTAAAGAATTTTTTTTTTAACAATCGAAATTTGTATTCTTCTATAGCGTTAGACTTAAAAAAAATCCCAATTGACCTTTAATCTGGGATAAATAAATAAACATGAAGAAAAGATCCGGACAAGGGTTGTTTTTTTAATTAAGAAAAAAAGCTTTGTTGATTTTTTTAACAATTGAAATTTGTAAATAATTTTTGATGTCTATTCTTTATTAAATTTATTAAATTCCAGAATTCGTGAACAATTTCTTTTTGTATATCTAATTTTTTTAAATAAAACAGGAATGTAACGTATAAAGCCATATCATACATTAGAGCGTCATTTCAGCACTACGTGCCTCAACCCTCGAATTCAAATGCAACGTGAAAAGCAAAACCAATGCATCTTTTTCTGATCTACGAGTGGAGTGGCGGGTCTATTTATATCATTTTGTTATAATTTATTAGACTACTCTATCAATGTACCATTTGGTCACAAAATAGTCTATTATCTTTATTAAATATTACATCATTGATCATGAATACATGATAGTATATTAAGATGTTTCGCATTCAGTGCTAATTTTGATATATATATATATATATGATGAGTTGTGTGGTTTTATAATTTTATAATATTATGGACACCAGAATATCATCGCGCTATAATTTCTAATCTGTATTTCACGAAACTCTCAGCTACGTTTTCGTTTAAAAACTTGTTTTTCTTGCGAAACAAATTTTTCGTGCAATATCTCAGTTTTTCTTTAACAGGATTAATTTATAAGGATGTAAATTGAAAGGCGAAAATTGCATTATTCAAAGAATAACTTCACCATCACCAAACTATAGTGATCCATTTATCGTGATTTAACAATAAAAGAATCTTGGGATTCTTTAAAGATTTAAAAGTGATATAAACATTGTACGTACCAAAGCCCATCTTATGTGGTATGTAAATGTCGTTCTAAGTATCGTTATTGATCAACCTATGCTGCTTCAAACTCGGACACTAAAGACAGCACATTATTAATATTATTGCGAATTATGTGTAGTTAACTTCAAAAGCCAAAAATTCAAAAATACATCAATTTAACACAACTCATATGTATGTAAAGACAATTTGATTTTATGAAATGTAATAATAAAAGAATAGTTTTAATTTGTAAAAAATAAATGGCATTTTTTATTTTGAAAGAAAATACATGGAAAAAAACAAGTAGTTTATTTAAGTAAAATTTCTCCCATGATAATTATTCATTGCAATATACACATTGTACAATGATATAATAATTTATTGATCCCTATTTGCGTTTTTACTTACATCGAACATTTTCAATTACGTCAAATGGTTTTACTTGTGTCAAGGACTTTTTCTTTAGTCAAATTGTCAAAATGGCCTGGTGATTTGCTTTAATGAGTAAGCAAAAGTTGGATTGACGTCAGTTAACAAGTGAGTGCTAATAAAGTATTCTCCAAAGGTTAATTGGGAATACTGATAGTATTATTGTAATTATAAACATAAGGCTTTTAAACAAGATGCTTGAGTTATTTTGCAATAAACCAAAGCGAGTTTGCAATCGGCCAGTAAATGTAAATGACTGAAATAAATCGATCGCAAGTGATTTATAGAAACCCTTGAGTTTTGTAAAAGGACCATCTTTATTCATTTACAGTTGTCTGTTATCGTTAAGTGTGCTCACAGATTTGTCTAGGTGCCAGTAATTGAGAACTAAAATAAATTGACCAAGTTATTTGTAATTGACTAACAAGAGTAGCCCAAAAATTGAACCATGATTGTTAATTAACCAAAATGATGCCTTTAACAAAAAAGTTTATTATTTCAAAACATTATTAAAATTTAGTTTTAAGAAACAAAATAAGGATAAAGTATAAAAGATAAATAATTATAATGAATAAATTTATAGTGGAAATTAAATTAGTCATCCATCAATTTTTCTTTACTATTATTACTAGAGTCTAATGTTCATTAATTAATTAATATTGTTAGTAATAATTGATGGATAATAATTTCAAATTAATTAACAATGAAATTTTTATTCGCCTTTGTTAACATTTTAGAGAAAAGAGTTAAAATCAAGATTATTTAACGAGCTATCATTACTTGTTAAGCTTTTTAAGCTTTTAGATTTAGCAATCTCTTCATCTAATATTCTACTTGTATGATATGC